CTTAAATCCTTCACCCCAATTTGGTGATTTGAAGTTCATGGTCCCCTCATCCTTCCCATTTACCCTGTCAACATCCTTACCCTTCAAATAAACAGCATCATTCCTTTGTTCAATCAGCAGAGCCCTATCCATGATGGCAGATAAGGACTTGGAATTATATGGTTGCAGTTCGGCCTTAACATCCTCCTTGAGACCATTAATGAAAATGCCTCGCAAAATACCTCTGTCCATATCTCTCTGGGGAGCTATAACCATCTCAAACTCATCTCTGTACTCCTTCACAGTACCCGTTTGCTTCAAACTTAGCATAGGCCCGTACGGATTCTGTATTAGATCAGGTTGAAACCTGCGGATCACAGCATCCTTCAGATTTTCCCAGGTTCTCTCTTCGGCTTGGTGTTCCCCACCATTGAAACCAGTTTAAGGCCCGATCCTCCATTGCAACTACGGAGACTTCCACCTTATCTTCCTCATCTATCTGGTTCAATCGGTAATAGCGTTCCATCCTCAATATCCAGTTGTAAGCACCTTTGCCATTAAATAGAGGTTGGTCTACCTTCCTACCAGTATGTATACGATGAGAGTGAGCTTGAGAATGTATCAAATTACCTCTCGATTGCTCTGGGTTGTGGGGTGATCGTGAATGGTGGCGTTGTTGTGATCATGATCTTCTCCGGGGCTGATCGCGAAGGCTCTAAATCTGTTCGTTCATGGCGGCCATCGAAGCTGCGACGTTGCTCTGAATCTGTTCATTCATCGTCGCTATTGAAGCTGCGATGTTTGCTAGTTCCCGTTCCAACGTATCAACTCAGTTTTCCATTTTTTATCTCGTTCTAACAATCCACCTCTAGACTAGATTGCAGTCGTGACTCACTTTCCGATCCCCAAAAGCGACTGCTCTGATAACATTGATAAGCACAGTCACAAGAAGAAAGCTTAAACAGAAAGCTGATACGCAGATCTGATCAAATGGTAACGATAAAAGTGTGTATTGATAATAGAGGGTAAACCGTAGGCAACCAGTCTGTTCAAGAAGACCACTCTCCAAGGCAACACTCAATATCAAAATAACAGCCTGCCTTAATTAGCTATTGGCCTACTATTTACAGTAAAAGGTATCCACTGTTAGAGTCTCACGAAGTCAACTGTTTGATAATAATAATAATAATAATAGTAGTGGTAGTAGCTATTATGATAAAGTATTCCAGAAGACAAGGGAATAATAAGTAGCTAGCTGTTTTGTAATTGGGGGTCGGTGGACTTCTATAAATAAGGGAGGCTGTTATTTGGTATTGGGCTGGGACTGGAGAGTTGACATCTCTTTCACTGTCAGGGCACTTTCTCTCTTCGTTCGAATAACTATTCCTGTTCACTGTTCATCTTCGTTCCTATTTTCTACCGCCATTATTACCGATTCCAGATAGATACTTAACATTGGTATCAGAGCAACGATCTTGCTACCTGTTCATGGTCGTTACAAGAGGAACGGTGGAAATGCGATTGGAGAACCTGGAACGCGAGTTGGAACGGAGTCATCTGGACATGTTGCGAGAGTTGGAGAAGACTCGCATGGAGGTGATGCGCGATCGCGATCGCGAAGACATGCGCGAAGAGGCCAAGCGTACTCGCGATGAGTTATGCGAGCTGTTTTTGACCAGGAATGATAGTCGTTCGCGTGGAAGATCGAAAACGACCAGAAGAAACCAGCGCTCAGGTAGTCGCGAATCATCGTCTTCCTCAGGTAATCATCATTTTCATCCTCTAGACGAAATGATGATTACAGCAAATTGGTGGAAAAATCTGGAAGGAAAGTAGATTTACCACTGTTTAATGGACATGATGCTTATGGATGGATAGTTAAGCTTGAGCGCTTCCTTAAAATGAATCATATAGAGGAAGATGATAAAGTAGAATTAATTACTTTAGCTATGGAAGGAAAGGCTCTTAACTGTTTCAGTGGTGGGAAGAACACACTGAGGTGAGGACATGGGAATCATTCAAGTCTGCCTTGACTCGTAGATTTCAACGAGGATTGATAAATGATCCTTATGGCCCCTTATTAAGTGTAATTCAAACTGGCAGTGTAATGGAGTATAGGGAACAATTTGAGTTGATGGTGGCACCTTTGAAACAGACTGATCTGAAAATCCTTAAAGGAATCTTCATGAAGGGTTTAAAAGACGAAATAAAAGCAGAATTAAAATTGTATCGAGTCAGAACTCTTGCGGAGTTGATGGATAGGGCCTTGCTAGTGGAACAAAGGAATCAGACTCTGAAATCTGCCAGGAACAAGGAAGATGATAGAAGAGGAATGAAAGATAAGGGGTATACTTCAGTACAGAATCACAAATGGATGGATGAAAACAAAGGGAGGAGCAGTCTGAACTACCAGTCCAGTCAAGGGAAACCTGCCATGGAAAAGAAAATGATGGAGACAGGAAATAAGGAGTCTGGAATAATGGGTACACACAGATTATCTCAATCTGAGTTACAGGAGTTGAGCAGAAAAGGTCTCTGTTTCAAGTGTGGGGAAAAAAGGGGAAAAGATCATGTTTGTAAGATAAAACACTTCCAGCTCGTCATGTTAGATGAATCGGAAGAGGAGGAGGAATTTGAGAGTAATACTATAGAACCTGCTTCACCAATGGAAGAAAAAGACCTCTCTACTACGCAGTTATCTCTCTTGAGCAAGGAAGGAATCACAACTCCTAAGACTTTTACAATGAAGGGAAAGTTAAGGAGCAGCAAGCGGGATAAAACTATAATCATTCTGATTGACTGTGGGGCCACCCACAATTTTATATCTCATAAGGTAGTTCAAGCAGCAGGCCTACCTATATTACAGATTCCAGAATTCAAGGTGAAGATAGGAAATGAAGACATAATCAGAAACAATGGGAGATGTGAAGCTGTTTTTCTTTACATACAACAAACTACTATCGTTCAAGACTTTTATGTCTTAGAATTGGGGGAAAATGAGATAGTTTTGGGGCTGGATTGGTTAGCAGGCTTGGGAAATGTTGAATTTAATTTCAATCAGCTGACTATCAAATGGAAGGAAAAGGGTAAAGCAATGAAGCTTCAGGGAGATACCAACTTCAGCAGGAATCAAGTTTCTTTCAAATCCACCATCAAGAATAAGCAAGAGCATGGAGAGGGGTATTGTTCGTTCAGCACTGCAATAACTGAAAACAAACTGGAAGTAAGTATGACTGGAAATTGGAAGAAAAAGGTGGGTTACACTACTAAAGGTGAAGCATTCGAACTATCAAAGTGGTTTGTGGATTCGAGGGTTGAGCCGATCCCAGCAGTTGAATTGATTAGCAAGTTATATGCAAAAGAGAACTATGGTGAGCAAGGTTTGAACCAACAGTTTCAGAGATGGAAGGATGTTAATCTGGAGTGGTATAATGGTGGAAACAAGGGGTATGGGCTGCAAAATCTTGAAGGAGTATCTGAAAGGTGTTTTATCATTGAATGTATTGGAAGGGAGGTGCTGGATGTGCATGCTTATGAGGCACACCCAAAAGAAAATGCAGAGAAGGGTCACAAGCAATTTTACTATATCAATCTGGAGGACTCTAAAGGCTGCTGAAGTGAATGGAAGGTCAATAGAGACACCTTCTGCTGCAATAACAACGGTGATTTTGGAAGTTCATGCGCTGAAGATAACAATAAAGAAAGAAGTGGGGTATTGGAAAGGAAGAGGTGCTAAAATGAAGAAGAAGCTGTTTGTCAGGAGTGTCTCATATGACCCATCTTGAGGACAAGGTGGTTGTTCCAGGGGGAGTGATGTTAGAGTCTCAGGAAGTCAACTGTTTGATAATAATAATAATAATAATAATAATAATAATAATAATAATAATAATAATAGTAGCAGCAGCTATTATGATAAAGTATTCCAGAAGACAAGGGAATAATAAGTAGCTAGCTGTTTTGTAATTGGGGGTCGGGTGGACTTCTATAAATAGATAGCTAAAGGAGGAATAAGGGAGGCTGTTATTTGGTATTGGGCTGGAACTAGAGAGTTGACATCTCTTTAACTGTCAAGGCACTTTCTCTCTTCGTTCGAATAACTATTCCTGTTCACTGTTCATCTTCGTTCCTATTTTCTACCGCCATTATTACTGATTCCAGATAGATACTTAACATCCACGCAGGGACCAAAACAAATAACCAACTAAATAGCTAATTACTTAACAGCCCTTCCCCTTCTATTTATACTAATAACTATTCCTCTTACTATTATTAATATTTCTTATTATTAGCCTACTAAGCCATATTCCTATCATGTTTAGATTTAGAAAATAGGTATGGTTTGAGATCATCATATAGGATGTCTATTTTGGAAAAGGCTGGTTTATTTGTATATGTACTCAGTAAGGGAGCTTCTAATAGAGATACTCAAGAGCGTTTTCAACATTCCGGTGAAGCCGTAGTAGAATTTTTAAGGAAGTTTTGAATGCAATAGATGGGTCTTCAAGGGATGTACTTGTGCCAAAAGTTCCAGATTTCAAGGACATTCCACCACAAATTGCTAATGATGATAGATATATGCCTCATTTTAAGGTAAGTGAGTATAATATTTAGTACATGTCATTCTTCAAATATATTGAGTGTTTGCAAATTTATAATTCATTTGAATTGGTATTTATGAAACTAGAATTGCATCGGAGCTATTGATGGTACACATATTGCAATAACAGTTGCCGAAGAGGACCAATTACGTTACAGGGGGAGGAAAGGGATTCCAAATACAAATGTGTTGGCGGTATGTGACTTTGATCTCCTATTCACTTATGTTTTAACAAGTTGGGAGGGATCAGCTCACGATTCTCGCATTTTTCTAGACGCAATCAACAACCCAACTCTCAATTTTCCGAAACCACCTAGAGGTACTTCTATTTTTTTTGTAACCAAAGAGCTTCTATATATGCAAATTTGACATGTATTATGTATAAATGTAGGCAAATATTACTTAGGCAAATCCCAGTTTCTACCTCCGAAAGCTTCTCCATCTTCCGAAAAGGTTTCTAGCAATAAACCCTCCATAGTCTCAAAATCTGTAAACAAGCGCAAACCCCTAAGCCAGCAAGAAAAGAGAAAACTTAAACGACAACAAAAACAAATTGAAGAGGATCAAAAAACACTGGTTAACTTAGAATCAGCAATTCCTGAATCAAACATTGGGTTTAAAATGTTGAAACAAATGGGATACATTCCTGGGTCCAGTTTAGGGAAGGATGGTTCAGGAAGGGTTGAACCAGTGGGATTGGAAATTCGAAGAGGCCGTGCTGGGCATGGGAAGGAAGACTCGAGATTAGAGAAGGCAAGGATAGAAAAAGAGAAATCTGAAATTGGGCAAAAGAAGGAGGAAGAACTTATGGTAGACTTTGAGCATCGCCAAAAAGAGAGGTGGAAAGGGCGGAGGGTTGTTGTCAACTTTCACAAGGCTGAGGCTGTATTAGCCTAGTTGGAGAATAGGGAAGTCGTTGAAGAGGCTAAAGAAAAAGAAGGAGAAGAGGAAGAGGAAGAAGAAATCATCACGGAAGAGGATTTGCTAACGATGTTGATGAAATTGAGAGATGAATATTATTACTGTCTGTTCTGTGGATGTCGGTATGATTCTTTGGAGGCACTTGTGGGTGACTGCCCTGGCAATATTGGAAGAAGACCACTAGACAATTCGACTTATTGGAGGGATTGATGCGTTTCAGGGACAGTTGAGATTTGTACTTTAAGCTTTTTACCAAATCTGATGATGGCAATTCAATAGTGAAAATGGTTGTGAAAATGGTTAGGGTCTCAAACCTCATCAAAAGATCCTTCAAATGAAGGTTTCTTTGTGCCATGAATCCAGATGATCATATCTGATTTATCCAGGTATGTATTGCGTATTTGCATTCTTGATCTGGGAAATCAACTGTGGCCCTCTGTTACTTTTGTGTATGGAATTGCTAAATCTTAATTTGTATGCTGAAATTTGTACTTTTCAAAAAAAAAAAGATAAGCAATATAAAAAAATTACTAATTTCCTTATATGTCTTTTTACACTCAAACAGCTATTCTTAAACAACTAATTTACCAAACATTTGCTGACAACAAGCTAACATAATCAGCCAACTAAAACAGCTGACATAACCAGCTATTGTCAATCAGCTGTCGTAACCAGCTAACAGCTAACCGCCAATTGCCAAACAAGGCCTATATCTCCATCATCTTTTCTTCTAGTTTCTGTATGATTCAACATAAGTAAGTAATTATTTATGCATTTCATCTTGTGAAATGAAAACTAATTCCCTATGGGGCTCTTATGTGCTTGAAAGTAGGTGGTTTTTTGTGATGGAGATTCTGGCGAATTAAACCCCTCAGCCCCTCATGCCCAAGGCTACTCTGATTCGCTATTGGAAGACGGTGATACTCAATGACTTGCCCAAGCCATGATTTTGTTAAGGTTATGGGATTGAGAACGGGTACAGGGACGACTTGGGGTAGCAGACTAGCAGGATACCCAGTTGAGGTGGTAACCTGCGTGCTAGGGTTACTCTTTTTCTTGCCCGTGGCTGGAAGAGCGGGGGGGAAGCCCGTGACTTCTCTCTGGAATAATTCTTAATGATCGATGATTATTATTCCTCCAAAGAATTATAAATAGGCATTCTGCCTTTACATGATTAAGTCATATTCTAACTAAAACTCTAAATTAAATATAAAAATAACATCAAACTGGACTCCTCTTCTAATTAACTAAACCCCTAAATTAAATATAAAGATAACATCAAACTGGACTCCTTCTAATTAACATCAAACTGGACTCCTTCTGATTAACTAAAACCCTAAAGATGCATCTGTAACATCACTCCCTCCCTCGACGCTGAGCTTGTCCCCAAGCTCATATCTTGGATAAGCAGCGATAAAAAACTCAACGGCTCCTATGCGGCCTTATTTGATGTGGGCCATTGAACTAATAGTGCCAATTATAGCGTTGGCAGACAACTCCAAGGCTGGGAAGCCATCATCTTCCTCCTCATCTTCTATCTCGATCAAGAAAAGCTTTTTGCATCGGTGATTCATCGTCCACCGTTCATCAGAATTATAACATAGCCCTTTTGCTCGTCTTTCTGTCATTTCATCCTTCGTCAGTCGCTTAACAATTGGATTTCCTACCCGTGTTGTCGTGAGCGCTTGTCTAAGCCGTGGCGGACTACGTTGTTTCATATATGTTGCAGTACCTGAGAGGCTGAGACTTTGACAGGTGCAAGCGTCGATGCTTACCTTGCTTCCAATGTCCTTGCAAGGTTCATTGCATAACCCAGGTTGCCTGGTTTTGCTATCTCCACATCAGCCCATAAGTGTGGATGGAGACCGGTGACAAACAAGGCAATCTGATGGTTGGACTGTATTTTTCAAGTTCTTGCTAAGGCTTTCTGAAATTGGGCACAATACTCATCAACTGATCTGGTCTGCATCAAAAGTTTCAGATCTCCAATCGGGTTAGAACTCAAAAGGCCCCCAAAGCGCTCCAAACAAAGTTCTTTAGACCTCTCCCAGTTGACTTCTCCTTCTTCCTCTATCATCTAATTGAACCACAGTTGTGCATCGTCTATCAAGTGGAATGAGACCATATTCATCTTTGCAACACTAGGAGTTTCTTGGTTCAAGAAGATTTTTTCGCACCGTTTCAACCAACTGGTAAAGGTTGTAGGTGCCATTAAACATAGGAAATTCCATCTTCGCATATTGTGGCCTCCAAGGGTTCGTAGTTCTGTACAATGTATGATCATTCACTTCCGCTTCATCTTCCTGCGTTATTGTTGACTTCGAGTCCCGTTTGTGGACTGCCAGAGATAGAGCGGCAATCTGCCCTTCCATGGTGGTTGTCCTAGCGGTCATCGTATCCATAAATAATAAATTCCTTTAACATGGTGGCTAAATTATCTTCTGGTGGCGCCATGGATCGTGACGGCCCTGGTACCAAATTGTTAAGGTTATGGGATTGAGAACGGGTCCAGGGACGGCTTTGGGGTAGCACTCGTAGCAGGGTACCCAGTTGAGGTGGTAACCTGTCTGCTAAGGTTACTCTACTTGCCCGTGCCCGGAAGAGCGCAGGGGAGGGGGGAAGCCCGTGACTTCTCTTTGTGAATAATTCCTAATGATCGATGATTATTATTCCTCCAAAGAATTATAAATAGGCATTCTTCCTTTAGATAATTAAGTTCTATTCTAACTAAAACTCTAAATTAAATATAAAGATAACATCAAACTGGACTCCTCTTCTAATTAACTAAAATCCTAAATTAAATATAAAGATAACATCAAATTGGACTCCTTCTAATTAAAATCAAACTGGATTCCTTCTAATTAACCAAAACCCTAAAAATGCATTCGTAACAAATTTCTGCTCATCAAGTCATCATTCAGAACCGCTTGGTAGGAGGAGGAGGAGATGAAGATTCCTAAGTAGCATCGGGACGGAAACGGAAACGGGGACGGGGAAACGCTAAACTCAAAATATCAGGAAACGGGTACGGCAAGGAAACGTCAAACTAAAAATTAATTGTTTTAGTAATATAAGTAATGCATATGTCTAACAACCCAGAAAATAATTAAACAAAACATACATCCTTGTTATAATTCATTCTACAAGCACAATAAATAAAATTTAAAAAGCACTACGTAAATGTTTCATTCTGTGATAAACACTCTCTCCAATTCCGGCTCATCTAAGGATAAATTAGCAAACTCCAAATAGCCCATTTCTTCCAACTAAAATGTCCGTACTTACTAGAACTTAGAAACAATTGAAATTGAAGAGAACCCTCTCACCCAAAACCCAAAGCCTTTTCTTCTTCCTTCCTGTCCAGTGAATAGCGAACTAAGTAGCACCGCAACACTCCCTGCCTCCCAGGAGTCCAGGCGATGATGATGGTCGATGGTCTCAGTCTCCTTCGCAGGCTTGACGCAACTTGATTTCGCAAATAAGCCTTTCCAGTTCGCACTTCGTTTGCAGTCTTAGCCTCTTCGCAAATAACCCTTCGCAAATAACCCTTCTTCGTTTGCAGTCTTCGGGTCTTCGCAGAGGTAAGCTTCAATTAAAGTCCTTTCTTTTTTAATTTTCTGCAGAAACGCGTCGGCCCAAGCCCAGCGCCGATTCCGAAACGTTTCCCCAACCCGGCCCAACAGCCCAACATCTCAGAAACGTTTCCCGACGTTTCCATGGCGTTTCCCGGCGTTTCGCGTTTCCGAAACGTTTCCGGGACGGAAACCTCCCCCCAGTTCACGTTTCCGTGCTTCCTAGGAAGATTCTTCGGAAGATTATGATTTTAACCTAGACGATTATGTTTTAGATGTTTAATTACGTAGTTAGGAATTAGAACTGTATTTTTTAAATTCCTACAACAACGACAACATTCAAGCCTTATTTCTAAAAGATTTCGGGGTCAGCTAACATTTATCAATCCATGATATCGGAGCCAAAAAGAAAAGAAAAATATGAAAAAGGGAAAAGGTGCAAATAGGCCCATGTACTAACCAAAAAGGTCAAATAAGCCTTTATTTAGGAGGCTTTGTCCGGTCATCGCTATTTGGGGTGGTTCCCAGTGGAAGTTTTTGATGAAATTTTTTGAGCATCTTAATCATCAAGTCTAGTTTACGCATACCAAATTTCAGCTAAAAATTCAATCGGGAAGGCATTCAAATGAATTCTTGAAAATAACTGCGCAATTAGAATCACAGTTATCTTCAAGAATTCATTTGAATGCCTTCCCGATTGAAGTTTTAGCTTAAATTTAGTATGAGTAAACTAGACTTGATAAATAAGATGCTCAAAAAATTTCATCAAAAAATTCCACCGGGAACCACCCCAAATGACGACGGCCGGTCAGAGCCTCCTAAATAAGGGCTTATTTGATCTTTTTTTGTTAGTACATGGACCTATTTGCATCTTTTTCCTATGAAAAAATAAAAAGATAAGGTAAGATAAAAAAAACATGAGAAATTCAAAAGATAAAAATAACATAAGAACATAAGAAATTCAAAAGATAAAAATAACATAAGAACATAAGAAAGATAAAGAAGATAAAAAGATAAAAGAAAACGAGAGAGAGAGAAGGATCAATCCTCCACACCAATATGCGTCTGCCCTTGAATCCTTGTTCCGGGGGGATAGAATTGAAATGAAACACAGCATGTAGAAATGTAAGAAAGAAAAAAGTAGATCACCATAATATGAATAGGTAGTATAAGAACCTGAAACATTTCTCTTAGCAACTTCTTGAGCACAACGCTGCCTTTCTTCAATGCTTGAGCCCCCAACAATAGAACCAAAAATGATTGCGTTTGTCTGCAACTCACCAATTATAACATTCTTTGTTTTTAAATTAGTATAAATTTTATTATAAAAAGGATATTGATCTTTACAAGAGAAAACCTACCAACTTATTCCTGAAGTACATGACATCTGTATTTGGTATTTTAAACTGTAGAGCATGTGTCAATTATTGAAGGGAGGCAAATGAAACATCTATCTCTTATTTTTACTTGGATTATAGAATGAATTAATGTGCGGCAATTTCCAGTCTATTGCAAAACTAGTAATGAACAAGACGAAGCAAACTACTATGCAGCTTGATCTGTAACAGCCAAGATTGAACAGTCCCAATGTAAAATGTGACTACCCATGCTCATTAGTGTGATTAGTCAAACTGGGACCGTTCTATTGATCAAGCTGCGAAAAGGACCATATCCTGATAATAATAAATTAAAACACGATAAGAAACCAAATTAAGTCGATATGGTTACACAAACTGACAAACAAAACAAAAAAAAGTAAAAGGATAAATGAATATCCTCTAGATGCTAATGATGCATAGCTGCATTCGACAAGTACATAATTTGCTATTGTTACTTCCATACCAAAACAATATATTCTACTTTATTAGAGTGCAGCATTTAGGCAATGGACTAGGAAAAGAACAATGTTCCCAAGACTAAGGACTAATAATACAAGTATCTAACTAAATGAAAACCATGTTTCACGAAGCCAGAAGAAGCACGGCGCCATATTTATGGTATGAAAGACTAAAATGTTACTCCATACTATGCCAACATTTTAGTGCAAACCGGCACCTGACCCATACGAAAGGTAATAAATACCATATTTATATTTCTTTTTTGTAACTGTAGGTTACACTTTTTGTATGGTGGGTATCTGATGGTAAAAACTTGTTTGTAAATGTATTATATTTCTTCCTTCAAATGCATTTTTGAGATACATATAATATCTATATGTGAGGGTGAAAGGTTGTACCAAGTTTAACGTGATGCAATCATCAAGCCATCTCAAAGTGCGATCAACAGATATTCCATTCCTCTTCTGTGAAACCCAAGCAGGCACCTCATCAGATAAAGTGGCCCACATATTTGGTCTCATAGAAGAAATCATTTCCATGTACTCGGCAGGTTTTATCTGTAATAAATATGGAAAGTCTAGAACAAATAAATCAAAAGTCTAACCATACACTGATTGTGTGATCAAAAATAGGAAGAAAATCGCACCAAACAACGACCGCAAGGAGTTTCAAATGAAGCTCCAGTCCTGTTAGCACTCATGTACTCAGGTATGGAAATAATGGAGTCCCTTGGAACGGCTGTGAATATCCGGTCATGTAAACCGAGCATCTGGTGCAGTCCTCCAGTGTCGGATATGGTTTGGTTAGAGACGCATCCTAAGCTGAAAAAAACGAGACATCAATAATACGACCAGACTCTTTTTTACTAGAGTGATCACACAGACAAAACGTCCAAAGGCGTAACGAGCCACTTACAAGTGAACCGGGCAAACCTGAAGAAGGCTAGAGTCCGGCAAAGGGAGGGAAGGGAGGTGATCGGGTGGAATAAAAACGGGCAGCCCTTTGCGAGTGGTCAGAACGAGAGCCGGAGTCTCGATGGAGTATGGGCTGCTACTCAACTGCAAAACCCCTGCACGAGCTTTCCCGTTGCTCCATGTCTTCACCGAGAATTTCATCTTTCCAATTCTCTCCTTAGCCGTAAGCACCCACAGCTCTCTGGTTTCTTGCTGATTTCATTATTGGGAGCAGTATAAATATGTAGAATGTGAGGAAATCTACTCAAATTTTAGAGTGATTTTAAGGTGATTTTAAAGTGATTTTAGAGTCGTTCATATTTAAAATGACTTGACAAATTTTGTAAGAATGCATTTAATAATAGATTTTATAAAGATCAGATATAAGATTATGAAAAGTTCTCTCTAGGGTTACCCGCGGGTAACGCCTAGGTACTTCCGCCGCCGCCGGTCTATCACTTGGTTCGTATCGGCAACCGAGCATAGCAAGATTTTGCTTCCGAGCTTCGCTTATGAAGCGTCGGTGAGTGGCTTTTGGTTTTTGTCCAATTTTCGTTGTTTCGATTGTTGAATAAGTTGGGGAGTAATTTCGTGCGGCGTCTGTTCCGAGTGTACGAAGAAGAAGAATCGGGTGCATGGAAAGTGTGGTGGACAAATACAAAAGGATGGCCCTGACGGAGGAGGAAGACGACTTGGACCTTGATGATACGGATGAGGGAGAGGAACCGAAGGAGGAAAGCAAGCTGGGATATCCGGTGGTTGGGGTTTTGTTGACAGATCGTAAGATCCGTTTCCCGGCAGTCAAAGAGACGATGGCGTCGTTGTGGAGACCAGGAAAAGGTCGGTCCGTGAAAGAAGTCGGGGAGAAAAGGTACCTATTTACTTTTTATCACCGTTTAGATATGAACCGGGTTCTGGATGGTGGACCGTGGCAATTTGAGAAAAATTTATTCTTGTTAAAAGAAGTTAGACCCGATGATATCCCTCACAAAATTGTTCTAAATGAGGCAGAATTCTGGGTTCAGGTCCATAATGTGCCGTATAGTCTGGTTAATTTAGGTACGGTGAGGAAAGTTGGTAATTTGATAGGCAGGTTTATAAAATATGATGATAATCAGAACAGTGACAAGTGGGAGGCATATATGAGAATATGTGTGTGTATGAATGTGGAGAAAGTTCTGAAAAGGGGTACAAACCTAAAGAAGGATGGCAAAAGCTATTGGGTAGATTTCAAATATGAGAAGTTGCCAAACTTCTGCTTTATCTGTGGACTAATTGGACACTCTGACAAATTCTGTCACTTGATCTATGAAGAAGATCTAGTGATGGAGAAAAAGTATGGAGTTCATCTTCGAGCATGTAGTGGGGGGAAGACGAGCCCTACAGGAGGCAATCAATGGTTACTGGAGGGTTCATCGAGCTCTGGCAGGGAGCACAGGTATGGGGAGGGAACCACCTCGAGAGATAGGATGAGGAACGAGAGGAAGGATTTGGAGGCGGATTCAGAACAGAGTATTACAAAGAGCGCAAGAGAAGAGAATAAGGAGGAGGCATCAGGAGAGCAGAAGCGCAGGAGGCTCTGGGAGACGCAGGGGAAGGAGATGCAAGAGAAGGAAAGTATGGCACTAGATGGGGCAAAAAACGGGGAGGAGGCGGGCTTCGAGCAGTAAGCCCGCCTGAAATTGTTCAGAGCCTGAAGAAAGGATTGTTGATGAAGATGCAGAGCAAGCAGATTGGGAGGAAGTTTATCTTTTTTAAATTTAGTTTTTATTTTTCTCAAACTTTTCAGTTTGTTTTCTGTTTGGTGTTTTTGTTGTTTTTCACGGTTGTAAGACATTGGATTTTGATGTGGGTGACTTTGAAATTGGGGTAACCGTTTATGGCTCATTTGTGCCCACTAATGGATTAGCGAGTTACATTGCTTCTGGTGAGGTGATTAACTCTGAGTTCACGGGACAACGGTTGTCTGGATTCTATTTGTCGGATTACCCATAGTCTGAATGTTGGGATTTCAATTTAAGCCAAATTCTTCCAAAAAAAAATGATTTTAGAGTATTAATCACGTTGGGTTGACTGAAACGTGAAACCCTAGGCAAGAGGCAAAATGTGACGCCACGCCTCTAGCCTCTCGCACTCCAGCTTGTTGCACCGCTGCAGTATGCATACCTCTAAGAATAGAGTTGTCGTCCAGCCTCCAGCTTGTTGAAAGAGAACGAATGACGCCTCCAAGCGAGTAACAGATTACATGTTATGTTATGTTCTAGGTAGGGGAGATTCTTGTTAGGGGTATGATCCAACTGAATTGTTCTTCTTTAATTTGCGGTTGTGTTTGTTCTGCGTTTTGGCGGTTATTTTCCAGACATTGGTGCTCCGGATTGTTTTGTCTCCCTCAATGTGGGGAGTTGTTTTGGTGTCCCGGTCAGCTTCATCTTGTTAGGGGTTTCTGGTTGCTTGGTTTTGGGTTGCGTAAATAATGGTAGAGCTTGTCCTCCTTCAGAACCACCTCCATGCTAGGAGAGTTTTGTGCAAATGCTTTAATTCAATTTTATTTTTCATTTAATAGTACTTGTTGGGGTACTTGACTCAATATGGGATCGGTCCAATACCCCCTAAAGAAGAGGAAACCAAGGGTAGTGGCCCATAAGGTTAACCCGACACTCGTCATCACGGGTGCAACACTTGTCGCCCCTACCCTTGGTCCATTTAGCCTAGACAATCGGTTGGGGGACTTCAGCGGAGACATTCGGCTGGGCCCGAGCAGCACCTTGGCCTTGCCCTTATCTGGACCCGTGATCAAGAGGCCCTCCAGTACGAACATCCAAGATATTTGGCACGAAAGCAGGATAATGGCGGGAAACACATTTAATGCACCAGGTATGCAAGATTTGGTGGTTGGCGGGCTAGCCACGTTCATAGAAGTTTTTAGTGGTTTCACCTTTTTAAAACCACTAAAAAGTTAATTGATAAAACCACAAAAATCTTTTACTCTAACTCCCTTGGCATTCTTGAAGGTGGTTTGATTGGTTTCTCTATTAAAAACAACATTCTTAAACTAACCTAGGTTGACAAATTTAATCTTATTTGTTTGTCCTCATTAAAGAACACGTTCAAGTCCAAAATGAAACTTCGTTTCGACACTATGAGACCTTTTTTTAATTGCCTAATGAAGTAGACTAGATTCCGCCACATATTGTTTTGCTTAAAGTTTTTAAATATGTGTTAAACAAACCCTAAATATGTGTGTTTTGTTTACGTTAATTTATATCCTTCGAAAATTTATTGATCAAAATAAAACTATTTAAATTTACTAATTTTTTTAAAAATGAAAATAATTGTTACAGTTATCATCACTTTTTACATTTTTGGAATTTACTGTATAAATTGAATAAAGTTAAAACTATTTTTCTACCTGAATTGAATAAATTTGGTGAAGAAGAATGCTTTAGCTATTTTCAAATAATAATTTATTTATTTTATTAGCAAAATTGATTTACTAACATTTTTTCAAAATTTAGTCAATTACGTCAATTTAACCGCTTTAGTCGAATTTCACCACTGTTTGTAGACTTAACTGTTAACCGTCAAAATATTTTGAACATCTAAAAATATCATAGGGCCTGTTTAGTAGCCACAATATCATATATCACCCTTATCGATCATTTTTTTTGTCAAACATATAACTTTTGATTTCACATACAGATTCTATAATATTCAAAAAAAGAAAGGTTGTAGTAATTGTTTGGCTAGTTTGGTTGAAGTTACTCTAGATGATCATTTTTACATAAAGAGTTATGAAATCTTTTTGAATAAATATGTACTCACTACCCAATTTTATTTTTTAACTTGGTTGTAAATTCTGAGAAATAATTACACACACATATATATGTGTGTATATATTGTTGGGTGTGTTTCGAAAAACAAAGAAAATTAATTAATAAATATTAATTAAATAAAATGACTTAAAGAAAAACAAGAAATGAGATGAAGCAGAATAAGCCAAAGCTCGTGCTACGCACGATTTCCTTAAAACGTATTCGTTGCCTCCCGGGGTGCTAGGAGCGTTGCAACGATCGTTTCCCAGGATACGATGAATTCGAACAATAGTTTAGCACTCAAACTAAAGTTCCAATGAACGTGAACAAAAGCAGAACACCGAAGGAGTTAGCACGATAGAAGAGCATCTTTTGCTACCACCTAACCCATTAAATTTTTCGGGTTTCTCCACAGAGTTGCTCGGCACGGTCACCATAGGGATAGCCCTTTGGTTAACCAAAGCAGATGCACCGCGTTGTGAACTATTGTTCACCGGAGCTCCGCTTTCAGAGTGATTATCGTTCAAACCGTTCAAAACATTCTGCCCAACAACATTTTCATTTTCTTGAGAAGTCATTTTTCGTTTCTTACGTTATTCGAAAGCACAAAGAAAACAAGTTTTAAGATTGTTTACCGTAGTAGAACAATCACCGAATACGTTTTAAGATTGTTGGGTGTGTTTCGAAAAACAAAGAAAATTAATTAATAAATATTAATTAAATAAAATGACTTAAAGAAAAACAAGAAATGAGATGAAGCAGAATAAGCCAAAGCTCGTGCTACGCACGATTTCCTGAAAACGTATTCGTTGCCTCCCGAGGTGCTAGGAGCGTTGCAACGATCGTTTCCCGGGATACGATGACTTCGAACAATAGTTTAGCACTCAAACTAAAGTTCCAACGAACGTGAACAAAAGCAGAACACCGAAGGAGTTTGTATGAAGTGCTAGAGGTGTTGTTTTAGCTAAGAAAATACGTGAACGAAGTGTATGAAAGGTTGTGTCTTTGCAAAGCACCTACTAGCCTTTTATAGGGGTGGATTAAGGTGTGTTAATGGCTGTTTAAGGGTTATGATCGTTGGACATCAACGTCCTAAACGTTGGGCATTGATTCCAGTCCTTAAACAACCCAAAACGTTCATATGAACGTTGGGACATCAATGGCAGCATAAAGACGTTGGGCATTTATGTGCATGGAGCAAAAATTAAAGTAGGAACGTACCGGAAGAACAAAAATTAACGTTATCTTTAGAAGATAGATTTTCGGACGGCATTCGTGTGTGCAGGTCGCCCGCACACGCAAGTCGCGGTTTTTGTTCTTCGGTTTCGGGATTTGTGAATAGCTCCCGGTTAGAGCAAATGTGCCGGATTGCACCGGTGTCCACGAACCACTCCTTGGAATTGGATCCAACGAGGTTGACTTCGGTAACCACAGCCGCTAGGATGCTGTCTTCATCCTTTTGCCCACCTTGCACCAAGTTGACTTGGGAGTCTTTCTTCTTCCGTGGTGCCTTGC